AAATGGGATGAAATTAAATAGTATAAGAATACAATGTCATTCAATTAGGAAATAGTACAGTAACAAGAACCCTGCTCTAGAGGCTCATGAATTGGAAATGATATAGAAGGAAAAAGTCCCATACATATTAGTTGATCAAAGGATGGTTAAGAGTCATAAATATAACAGAGTTGCGAAAACAGCAACCACAATCCTTGGATATATCAGGCAAGGCATTTTCCCTAGAAATAAGAAAGTATGGACACTATTGTACCAGTCATTACTGAGACTTCATCTGGAATACTGTGTATAATGCTGGTCATCCAGGTTAAAAAAAAATGAACTCAGGCTGGGACAGGTACAGCGATGGAAGGATATGAGAATGGCAAGCCTCTTATATAAGAAGGAGAAAAACAGACTGTCTTGTTTACCCTGGACAATGAAGGCTAAGAGGAGATGTTATTGCTCTCTATAAATATATCTGAGATATATACCAAGGGGGGAAAAAAGCTATTTAAGCAAAGTTGGCACAAGAACAAATAGGTATAAATTCACCATAGAAAATATTAGGCTTGAAATTAGAAGAATGTTTCTAACCATCACAGGAGTGATGTTCTGGAACAGGACTAGTGGGAGCAAAAAGCCTAACAACTTTTAAGATGGAGCTTGATCAGTTTATGAAAGGTATTATAGGATATAATTGCCTGTGATAGCAGGGGACTGGCCTCAGTGACCCAGGAGGTCCCTTCCAGTCCCATGTTCCCCTGTAGATATGCTCTGCATAATTTTCTTGAAGTGGTGGCAACTCCAGGGACCCCACATCATATTGATTTTTTTGCTTTGCCTTATCTGTCTCTTTATATATATGCTAGTCCCTGTTGACTTTAACACCAGTTTCTAACAGTGCTGGCATTCTTGTTTTCAGTCTTCTGTTGAATAAAATGTCAGCAAGTAACAAGTCATGCTTTATCAGTGCTAGCCTATAGTTTAACAGAATTATGACTAAATATGGCTCAGTGTCTGACTCTGCAGCTTTTCCTGTAACCAATTTATTATTTTAACTTATTTTATACCAAGCTCTTGGGGATAACAGAGACTAGTAGTTACATGTCCTAACCCAAACTCCACTACAGACTGTTTGAACTTGCACCAACTACATCGTGGTCTATTGTCAGACATGACCTTGTCTAGAAAAACATACTGTCACAGGGACACAGGGTCAGACCAGGGGTAAGCCTCAGGCAGAGGCAGACCCCTGATCAAAGAAAAAGAAAAAAAAAAACCTGCTGCAGGGGCCCGGGACAATGAAGAAGCGCACCGCAGAAAACCGCCCAAGCGGTTTATCAGCCGCGCCCATCTCTAGCTGGGGCTGGGTGACGCAACGAGGAGGCATCACCTGGTGAAGATAAAAATCAGCCTGGAAAGCACGGGAAAGGGAACACCGAAGGCCGGAGGACTGGCGGGGAACCGCCAGACGGAGAGCGTCCCACCGCTGAAGTCGGCAGTGGCGGCAGTGGCAGAAGCAGCAGGAGCTGCAAAGGATCCCTGTGCCAGAGAAGACCGGCAGGGATTGAAGACGCTGGCAGGGAAGCCAGAAGTGGCAGCAGTGGCGACAGCAGCAGCAGCAGCAGAGGCAGCAGGAGCTGCAAAGGATCCCCATGCCAGAAAAGACCAGCGGGGATCGAAGATGCCGGCAGTGAAGCCAGCAGCAGTGGTGGCAGTGGCAGGAGCTGCGGGGAATCCCCATGCCAGAGAAGCCTGGCGGGGATCAAAAGAGCTGACAGGGAGAGCCAGCGTGGGAGTGCTAATAAGAGGCAATGAGGGTTGCGGCCACAGGGTGGAGGCATGTCCTGGGAGGGGAAGAAGGAGACCCTGGCTGGGGTGAAGGCGTGGACCCTGACCCTGAGGGCACACTTGCTTAGGGGCGGTAAGGGACCAAGGGAGTACGAGACGCTTCCCGTGGTTCCCCCTTGTCTGTTTCGCCCTTCCCCGTCTCATTGTTCTTGTACTTGGGGTATCAGTTTTGTTTTTCATTTCAGGTTGCTTCTGAGGCCTGGGGCTTTACGTTGGTGAAGATATTTTTGATTGTGTTTCCCTTTTTCAGGCTGTTCTATTTTGGTTCCCTGTCTAGCGCAGGCTAGTGTAGCCCTCTGTCCCAGGCCAGGGTAGCAGTGACCCCGGTCGAAGGTGGGAAAGAGACCACGAGAGAGCATGAAGAGGAACAGCGACATCTCCCATAGATAGCACTCGGCATCGGAAGGGACATCTCCAAGGGCAGAGAGTCACCAGACCCTCTGGGTCCAGTCAGAGCTCTAGGTGCCTGCCGGTGAGGAAGGAGGTGGGGACCAGGAAGATATCAACGGGGAATAGCCGCTAAAGATCTGGAGGCTCGTCTAGAAGGTTAGCATATGGCCGGGGTGTAGGGGAGGTTGGAGCCCCGGAGACATCCGCTGGGACGTGTGTCCACTCTGGAGGCACCCTCAAAGGGGTGAGAGACCATCCAAAGTTGCAGCAGGCGAGTTTGGGGGACACCCCAAAGGTAATCGAGGTACCCTCTGGGGTCTACACGAGGTTCCCTGGCGAACAAGGTCAGCTGCTCAGGCAAAGGCGGCTTGGGAGAAAGCCTTTGAGCGAAGACGGCCACACATACATTTGCTATGCATAATCACTTGTTCAGCTGAAGTATCTTTCAGTTAAGTTATTTCAGGGATGGGAGAATACCAGTTTTTCTAGTTAGCATAAACAGATCTAGGTCTACTTTCTCTAGAGAGATAATTTTCCTTGGGGGTCAGTCATGTATTTTTGGGAAAAATCTGGCGAGCCATGACAACTTCCTATGCTGCTGCTGTTCAATGGAAGGCAAAATAATATGGCTCTAGTCCTCCTCTTATATTTTTGAAACTCTAAATTACCCTTGTGTATATTTTTAAGCTCATATTTCCGTAGTAGTTAGAGATCACCATCTTCGTACCTTTCAACAAAATCTCATCTTGTACAAAGAATCATACTAACAGCAGACAAATTGCTCTCTCAGTTACTCTGTGCTAATAGCCCAAATCACTTTCTAGAATGTCACATTCCGAGGCCAAGCTCTGATAATCACAGCCAACATTAAATCTTCAATAGGAGACAACTTGGTTTTTTGTTTGTTTAATAAAATTTATAAACAGAATACCTAGTTATGGACCTATCTGTACTGCACTTTTGTCAAACATTCTGGAGACCGTGTCTGTAACCACCAAATCTCTCCCAGGTTTATATTCAATTTGCATACACGCACACATACATACAGATATACATACACTTACACATACACACACACACACACACACACACACACACACTGTGGCAGGGCACTGGTAGTGCTTGCCACTTCAGGGGTTGAGTCAAGCAGCCGGCAGGTACTTGATTGTGGCAGCCATTTTAAAACACTGGCTGCCTATATAAACAGAGCAGCTCACTCCTGGCAGCCAGGCAGGAACACTGCCTGACTGAACTGCTGCATAGAACATCTTGCAGGTAGGAGCTTGAGGCTCTTGGTCCTGGGCATGAACTAAAACTGCACCCTGCTGTGGAAGGCACAGGACTCCCCAGGAAATGCCAGGCCAGTTACCTCCCCAGTGAAAGGTGTGGAGGGACACCTTAACCCAAGCCCCCAATGTCAGCTGGGCTTTTGAGGCAGTGGTGGGGCCAGGCATATCTGCGGCCACCTGAGCCCATGAGAGGGGTATAAGACCCTGGAGAGTGCAAGCAGAGGGGGCAGGCATGGCATGCAGAGTGCCACCTAAGCCCAGCAGGAATGGGAGATCCCAGAGACCCCGGAGTGGGTAGTATGGAGAGCCTTGGGAGGCCCCGCACAGAGTAGGGCTAAAGCACGAGTAGGCCTGAAGGGTTGATAATGGTCATAAATAGCTTTGTGATTAGCTTCCACAAACTCTTCACTATTTTTCTAAGGGCACCTCCTAGACCTCAGCTAATTGATCCAATATAGAAAAATATTTGGCATCAGCCATACCACCCACAACTTTTCTCCCTTTGATAGGTCATGAAGAATATTGCCTTTTACATTAACATTATTTTGAGTCTCTACATAAGGGAAAGGCTTGGGGTTTGCTCCTTGTAATGACCAGACAAGCATACCCATTGCTCCTGCTTCTATTTGCTCTATGATTCCTAGAACAGCAGCTCTTCTTTTAGTCTTGAGTGAAAGCAAAGGGAATTTTCTTAGGGGCTTGATTTGTAGGGCAGCTGGGCTTTTTCAGCTGTATTCTGCATATTGTTCAAAGCTTCTGTATACATTGACAGTATACCCTATACCTGATGTCCCCAAACTTTCTAAACAGTTTCAATCCTTTGGCTCCTCCAATGCATCTCTTGAAGATACAAGGTGTTTCCACCTAATAATGCATACTCTTTTGCCTATGTAACAGAGTGCCATCCCCAGAGGTATTCAAGAATGCCTGGAGGCACCGGAGTCCCACTTTACTTTGAATTTTCTTCCAAGAACATACTCAGCTTCACTCGCCTGTCACAACTTATTGTTACTTTGAGTTCTTAAAGGAGGGGCTGCCCCAGGGCTTCCCAGATCTGCTCTTGGCTCTCAGACACCGGTAGGTGATGAGCTACTGTCTGAAGGGCTATTTGCATGACTCCCACCTCCCCTTATCATGCCCCGTGTCTCACAGGTGTTATTTGCATCAAATTTTCACTCTGTTGGAGTCTCAGCCAAAACAGTTTTTGCCCCTTTTATGCAGCTAAGCCATCCAGCTCAGACACATTGCAATAGGACCAGCTTTGTGGTACTAGCTTCAATCAGTATTCTCTCTGAGCCTCTGGTCCTGCATAGTTGCACTCCTGTGGTGCCAGGCTCCCTGGCCCCTGTAGCTGTGCCCTATGGGTGCTAATGAGGTCTTGACATCCCATACAGCTTCAGCCACAAACCACCAGTTTAAACTGCAACATAAACACTAAGCCCCTCGGCTATAACAAAGAAAAAAAATAGGGTCATTTGGCCTGCTTACCCATGGCTCCATGTCTCTGGGTCACTCTGCTTGGTGCTCTCACTTGCAGGGCTGCTTCACAGCTTCCTAGAGCCTTCAGGAATCCACTTCGTGCCACAGCCTGGGCTGGGCCGTGTAGTTAGCTCAGCCCAGAATTTATATAGCTCTGGCCTGAGCTCTAACCCAGTCATGTGACAGCCCCAGTCAGCGGACTGCCCTGCAGAGCTATCCTTTAACCCCTGCTCTGCTGGCAGGCTGTGCAGTAGAGACTCTGGTCTTAAAGGGACTGCTCTGCTTCCTACTAACAGGGCTAGGTTTCCCTGTTACAGCCTGATACTAGTGGAAATGGTATCGTTTCTAGTATTTTTTTTATTTAAGGATATATTTAGTTCACAGGTTTCTTTAGTGGAAGTAAACTCTATTGTGGGCTTTGAGTTTTACCCATTTACTATGTCTTTTCCTTAGCATTTGTGGGAATATTTCTGGAGCAATACATGTTTGTGCTCCAATAGTCAACTTAAAATTAATAAATGTGCCATTTACTTTCAGGTTGGTAGTCCATTCATCTTCTGTTGAAGTATTTTTCATTTTTTCTATGAGAAATTTCTCTGAACCAATAATGCTGTCACTGATCTATTTGTCCATAGTATGCGCACACAACTGCCTTGCATTGGTTGTCAAAACACGTGCAGATCCTTATGCTGTTCTTGCTTGACTCTGACTTCGTGCTCTTTATATCTTTAGTTCTTACATCTCTTTTCTTCAGTTCCCTTCAGTGTCAGTATACTGTCCACCTTCCACAAGCTTCTGTCAAGACAGAGTAACTCCCATTGCTGGTGAATTCTAATTGTTTTCCCTGGTGTCAATGCGGGGATTCTAGTAATCCTCTGAGTTTTTTGTTTCAGACCCCACTCATGATCCAGCCTTGTATCAGGATCTCCGCTATCTCCATATTAAAAGACTGACTCTTCAGCTTCAGATCAACACAAATTCTTTTATAGTTTCATCCATCATCATTTAGTATCCTCTGTTTAAACGCATATTATTCATAACTTCCATTTTTGTTTGGAGGGCACTACTTCACACATTGCTGAACTTCAGATTAATAATTATTCTCCTCTATTTGAAGTCAGCCAAAGACATGTATCCAATAGTTCTGAACCAGGCACTTCAAAAATTAGACTACTTTCTGACTGACTTCATTTTCACTGGTCCTCATTATTTCCAGAAAGAGTGAAGTACTGTGAAATTCCTTCCATTGTCTCCAAATTTTCAGGTTTCAATTCTGATTGGAGTATTATTTGTCCATCCAAGGTTTGTTTACAGGGATTTTGATGTTTTTGTTTGTTTCATTTCTCTAAGAATTGTGAGTATATCTAATGGAACAGACCCCTCAAGAGATGATTATGCACAAGAATTGCAGTCTTAGCAAGATTCAGATACTAACACACCTCATTCAAGATCCTGGATATACCGACCAGGCACAACCATTGTTTTCAAATGTCCAGTTCCATTCTCACCAAAGCACTAGGATGCTTAGATCTGCACCAAAACACCCAAGACTTCACATCACATAAATATTTAGGCAGGACTTTGCTGAATCACACAGTAGAGAAAAAATACATAAATTGTGACTAAAAAGTGAATAGTAATAAAGCCCTTTTTTGAACCAGCTAGAATTCTCTGGAATGGCTGAGGTTCAATCCACACAACAACCTCGGCTAGGGGCCTAGGGCTGTATTATTCAGTTTAAGATTGAAGCCAAAACAAATATAACTTTTTTTGAAGGAATTAAAAGCAATCTGTGAAATAGGAGCTGAATTAGCAAGAGCAGCTAAAAGACAGCAAAATTGCAGAACAAAGGATAGCTTGATTTGTGGAACCTCTAGATGAATAAAAAGAAGAGAGGGATGTTAACAACAATGGAATAAAGAGTTTAAAAGGGATCAGGTAGATTGATGAATGAGTCAATTAACTCCCTCAGCACTGCCTGAGTAGAAATGCTGTTGCCACTGCCAAGCAGTTGGTTTTAAATTCTGGATGGAGCAGGAATAAAAGGGGTGCGGGAGGAGGATGCAAGTGCACCAGTGAAGCATTCCCTTAATCCACCCCGGGATGTAAACTTTATAGTTCCCTCCCTCTTCTAATGTGAAAAAGCCTGACTATGGTGACAAACAAGGCATGATACGATGCTTTATTTTGTTTTATTTTGTGAGGGGCATGTAGACAGAGGAGAAAAGGGATAATGTCTGATCTGCAAGGGGATATAATGGTAGGCAACCATTGATCCTCCGGATCGTGGTGTACATGTAAAAGGTCTAGCCAGCTGCCTTGGTTGACAAACCCAATTTGAGAACAACACAGCTCATTACAAGTTTCACAGATCCATATGTTCTCTAAGTTGGAGTCCAAATTTACAGCATGCTGCTTTCCTTTTTCTTGCTTTGCTTCCATCCTCTGGATCAAAACTGGTTCCCATGGAGCTGCACTCAGTGCTAGGTGTTCCCTCCAGATTGGACAGAACTCTTTGCACTCCTCCAAGCCCTCTATGTTGATGTCAAACAAGTTCATATCATTTTTGCACACATTATGGTACAGCCATAGAGGTTGACCCTGCTTTCTAGAGCAATCTCAAATCGCATACAAAATATTTTTGGGAATATGGTCTTTTCCCACTGTCCTGACATTGCCGATCCATTGCAACCTTTTCTTCTTGATAGTGGTTTCTAAGTGTGTCAGTCCTGTGTGCTCCAGAACCTCCCTGTTTGGTACTGTCTTCCCTCTTTATTCTCAGCATTTTACACAGACATCTCATGTGGAAGCTCTCCAATCTCTTGATATGCCTAGCATATGTAGTCCACGTTTCTGAAACAAGGCAGGAATGACAGCACAGAAGTCTCATAGATTCATGTTTCACCTTGGCTGATGGGTTGCTGCTATGCTATGCAATTTTCTGTAATAGCCCAAAATTCTGAGCTGCTTTTTCGATGCTGTTAGTCAGTTCAGTCTGAAAGTCAAGATTTCTGCTGATTGTAGAACCCAAGCAGCAAAAGCTGTCAATTACACAACAAGATTTATCCAACCAAAAAATGCCAGGTATGGGTTCTTTCAACCCAGTACATGATCGCAGTCTTTTTTAGACTAATTTCCATCCTGAAGCTCCTGTGATTCAGAAAATCTGCCCACGAGACTCTGCTGGAAAGATTCCCTTTGGGAAACTAAGGTTATGTCCAGTTCTTTCACCTTGGTTTTCACTCTAAACCTTGCAATGTTGAACAAACCTCCATCTAGTCTGGTTCAAAGATAAATGACATCACTGGTGTCCTGGAATACATGGAGAAGTAGAAACGAAAAGTAGATGTTAAAAAGCATGGAAGCTAAGACACACACCCCTGTTTTACCCCACTGTTGATATCAAAGGAACTTGATTCTTTGCTTTCATACACTACAGTTGCCTTCATACCATGAGTGAGTGAATGATGTTTAACAGTTTGGGAGGACAACCCAGTCTCTTCAGAACAGTAAGTCCCTATCTGTTGGCTGTATCAAAGGCCTTCATCAGCTAGATGTGTACAGTGGTATTTGTTCTTCTCTACACTTCCATTGCAGTTGCTTGACTGAAAATATCATATCAATGGTGGAATGTCCTATGTGAAAATCTATCTGATTTTCAAGATAGATTCTTTCACCTAGAGACTGCAGCCTAGGGAACATGATGCCAGTGCCAATTTTTATGACACTGTTCAACAGAGAGATACCTCTACAATTGTCACAGTTGCTTCTATCACAAGGGGATATAAACGTGCTGTTTTAATCAGCACTGGGTTTTGGTAAAGGAGTGACTGAATGAGGCATATAACTGGTGTATAATGAGGTGTACAATGCTGCATATGACTTTAGTGTCCAGTCACCCAAAACTCTTGAGTAGAAACCTTTTTGCTGTTTATAAATCAGCTTAAATAAATATTGCTGCCCAACAAAATGCATATGGATTTAGATAACCAGGTAGAAGGCTGTGGTTTTGATGTCAGAGGTCCTGCAGGAGTGAGAATGTATGAGTGGCTAGCCTAGCTTATGGTATGCAGAAGCTGATGTAAGACTAATAATAGTGGATGCTTGGTAAACAGAGAATTCCTTGGGAAAGCAGCAAAAATGTAATTAACTTTCCATTATTTTAAGTTGTATTATTTTCTTATATTGCCTGATAGGCCTTTTTAAATCTAATATTTATGACTCTATAACCAACCTTTTATTTGGCTACAGAAACTAATTTTCTGTAGCATGCTCAGAACTAGGGGAGAGCCATGGGATTCCTATTCCAGAAGTCTATAGTGTTTCTATGGTTAGTGTGAGTCTGTGCATGAAGGGAGTGGTGTGATAGACAGCGGAAGGAGGGGGGTGCTAACAGGGCTTAGTCCCCCAAACGCGGGGCAGCAGTAGGGCCACAAGGCAGCCTGGCCAAGGGCTTCCAGTACAGCATGGGTGGGGAGGGAGTGGGGCTGGGGCTGGGGCTGGGGCTGGGGAGGTGCTGCACAGCCAGCAGGGTGCAGGACTGAGCTGCAAGTGGTTCATCCAAGGGGCACAGCTCTTGCTGCTCCCTGCACCCCAGGAGGCACAGGGGGTATGTGCCCCCAGATCTGTGCAGGGCAGGGCAGGCTGCTGCTGCGGGCTGGGGCCAGGGCTGTGCCGAGCTGTTCCTGGGGAGGGGCAGTTGGGAAGAGCCAAGCACCGCCTCTGCCCCAACCCACAGCAAAAGCCTGCCTTGCCCCATGCAGATCCAGGAGCATGTGCCCCCTATGCACTCCTGGGATGCTTGCAGCAGCAGGGCCTGTCACCCCCTCCCCATGCTTCCCTGGAGAGCAAGGTCAACTCAAGGTGGGGCAGGCACAGGGGTCCCAGGGGCTCCATCCCCTCCAGCCTTGTGGCATAGCTGAGGCTGACCCCGCTCCAGCCGCCAGCTCTGGCCCTCCCAGGTGATGCGGGGTTGGGGCCAGTGCAGAGAGGCAGCCAGGTCTGGTATGGGGCTGGGGGGTGGTGGATTCATTGGCATGGGGGGCACCAGTGCTGGACAGTGACCCTGGACACAGGGGAAGGGGAGGCCACATGGGCGCAGAAGACCCCAGCCCCGGCCCCAATCCTGGGCCTAGCTCAGTTCCACTCCCGCCTGATC